AAGAAACTTGTAGGTACTCATAATCCATATCACTACATTTTCAATGGTATCAGGTGGATTTGCAATATTAAAGTTGAAATTGGGAGTTCTTTTAAAGCGAATAATTCCCTCTGCTTTGTCACAGAGAAAAGTAGAATTTCATAAATGATCAACTTTCATCATTTGATTGTGAACACTGACATCGTTCTATAAGAAACAGAAAAACTCATTTAAAATATTGGATTTTCCTTTACAGTAAATATGTAGGGATTCGATATGCAGGAATTTTTATTTACATTTCTCAACGTTTAGGAAGGCTGAAATCTCCTTCATGTCTGTATCACGCTGACTTTTCGCAGTGCCGAAGAATCAATATCGTTTTTCAGCTTGTCCAAATGATATTTATACCACATCCACTAGCAGGGATCGTGGGATTTCCACCCATATCGTTATTTCTGAGATTGACTAGGAGTCGCTGAAAATATATCGCTACATTTTTTATATTTCTCGTACCACATACTGTATCGATATTGTTTAAAATACCAGAAAAAAGTTTGACTATATTGTCACCCATGTTTTCCTCTATTTATACCTAGTTACAGATGCTTATCCCAATTTTTTCGTGTCAAAAGAAAGCATTGATATACAAGTGTTTTTATTCTTTTATCGATGTGCTAGCCCACCCTGACGATTCACGAAAGAGTATGACTGAAGGTGTGACAAAGTCTACAAAATAAATAAAAAACAGGTTGGGTTGGGTTGGTATACCTCCTGAATGAATGTAATTATCCTGCGAAAAGTCTTTACACAATATTTACGGAGCTGTTCAAATCCGAGTGTATGCACAGGGATATCATAAACAGTTATAGATTTTCAAGTACGAAAAACTAACACTACTTTTTTTGGTTCCGGAGATGTACGGAAAAACCGAAATTCGCTAAATGGCAGAGGTCGTCAGTGTGAACCATGTAGGACACCCGATCGGGTAGAAATCCCATCGGATATATAGTTGATGATCATGATTCTTTGACCCCTCCCAGCGACAAAATCTCAAGCACCAATTTATAAGGAGCTCTGGCTTATGACTTGGAAAAATCTCTACGAATACAGTTAACTTGTTTGCCATTCCAAAGCATTTCGGAAATTGATAGGTCATTAACTTTGAGAAAGTACACCTGCCAAAGAAAATCGTTGGGGAATTATAACATTTCTGTAAAATCATGTTCGAAGATTACTGACTGATTCATCTAAAATATTAGATATATAATTTGCTCCACTCACCCAATCAGCCGCAGTGTGAACCGGTGGCCGCGAGGCCGGGCGATCGATTTTCACTTCCTATCGTCCAACCCGTGCTAGGAAGCATACGTTAAAAGGTTAGATCACATTAGTCCTTAGCTCGCACAAGGGAGAGTTGTCGTTCGTAGGGAGGCGATAGCTGGTTAATGGGAAAACGTATTTTAAACAGATTTTTTTAAACAGATATAAATAATTCTGAAGACGGTTGAATTGAAGGAATAATTATTCAGGAATGTTTTTACAAAAGGCAATTTTTTTACTTAACCATAATTACTATTAGTTTCGTGTTTTTATATATAATAATAATGG